CAGGAAGAATATTTTAGTTTTTTCTCCTGTGCTTTTGTGTTGAGATCTGTAGAAAACTACCCACAAGTCAGCGTTTTTCGTTCTTTAGTGGAGTAGAGCAGATGAGCAGGAATCTGTTTTATCCTGGTGTTGTTTGTGGTTTAGATTGAATGACCACGTGCACATACTCGGGACTTGTTCAGTGCCATAGAACTTATCTAGAAGGTTAAGAAGGTGGCTGTGAACAGTACAGAATAATTTAATTTAGCTACCGTTAACCAGTGCGTCAAAGGAAGCACATGTGCAAAATATGGCACCATTCCCACCTCCATATGCTTTTCCCCGAGCCTTATTTCTCTACTGTATTCCAGCTGGTTCTCGCAATTTCTAGTTTCCTGTTTAATTTCCAATACTTTATTTTAACAGTATTTTTAGACAAAAGTCATACTCTTTAATGATAGTAATCTCTGTTCCAGGTGACTTAAGTGTGTGTGTTATATATATATCTGTCTGTCTGTCTATCTATATATGCATTTATATTTTGGAAAATTGTGATTTGAATATCTGTGTGTTTGGGGAATGCTTTTACTTCCCAAAAGTTTGCCTGTTGACAGGGAGAGGGAAACTTGGAAGAAATTTTTGAAAGGGTATCCAAAAAAAAGACGGAAAATTAGAAATAAATTGAGCGCTCTGTTAGCTTGACTGTTAACTTTCGATAAGAATTATGACAAATGTTTTCTTTTTGTTCGTAAATTTTCATCCAAACAGTGAACAGACTTGAGTAAGGGTTCTTTTCATCATAAAGATGTTATTTTCAGTCTTTTTAAGCCTGAGTAAATACTGAGCAGATTTATCTTAAATCTGCTTTGTAGAAGTGAAAGTGGAAGAAGGGTGGTTTTGATTTTTAGTCTCTGTATGGTCCATACAAAAATACATAATCTTAAAAACAGTTTAAAAGATCAGCTGTGACAAAACCTAGAGTATTTCTCCTGGTTCTGAATTTCAAGCAGCTTTTGTGCAGTGGTCTGCATGGGCAGCACACTTCTGCTGTCGCTGTAAAAAGAAGTCGTAACGTAAGCTCTGGAACTTGAGACAACAGTTGTACTCCAAAGGCTTATTCTGGGATATGTAAATATTTCCGTGTTTTGTCAATTTGTACTATCTTGTCCGTTGTATCTTTTTCTTTCAAAAATGTAATGAATTCTGTCTGTACATCTGAGTGCCTGCCTCTTAATACAAAGACAGGTTTTTCTTTTCCTTTTCTTCTTGACTTGATGTTTCTAGAATTTTGTACTATTTACCTGGAGCTTTGGGGGAACTAGAACTAATGTACATAATTTTTCTTTATCACAAAGTTGTTAATTTTAACTTGAATTTAAAATGCCTAATAAACCCTCTTTTCCCTCCCTCTATTTATGTGCAATAATCATGACCCTAGACAACTTCATCTCCAAATACCAGTCTCACTTCTGATGGCACCCCATCCCCAGCAGGAGGAATTAAGCGAAAAGCTGAAGATAGTGACAGTGAACCTGAGCCAGAGGATAATATCAGGTGAAGCCATTTTTTGTAGCACTTTGTTAGCAAATTGCTGAGATAGATGCAGTCTAATTAATGCCATTTAGCTTAGAGCAGCAGTGCCTTCAGATGCTTTTCTATGATCTTTTTATCCACCAGTAATTAATGTGGAGGGTTAGAATATTCAGTAAATTCCAGTGAGATGTGTAAGCTATAGCTGTTAAATCTAAGTATCTAGATTAGTATGCGTGCGGGTTTACATCCTCCAAGCCACTACTCCCTTTGAGACCAGGCACTAGATTGGCTAGACATTCCCTGTTCAGCTTTGATTATGTGAGCTGAATGCGGCTGTTTCACAGTTGAATTTTTAAGCTATTTAACCCACAGAATTCAGTTATGTTAGCGCGCACAGCGTTACTTATCTTGACTATCACGGTCTTATTTCCTCGATCTTTGCCTTGTAGCAGACCTGGTTTTGGTGGCAAGGAGTTCTTCTTTAAGTTTCTTAGGACAGCTGTTCCGCCGATGATTAAGGGATAGGAATTTGATGGAAATTAATTGAATTGACGTGAATTAACCGCGGGTGTGAGTTTACTGAAAGTTTTAATCAAGATGTAAGAGTTAAGGCCTTAGGAATCTTTATGTCTAGTAACCTGTTTACATTTCTGTCATGATAAAGGCAGCCAGTGGTTTTTTGTTTTCTGTCGAGTGAAGGGACGTAGGCATGGAAAAACAAAAAGGTTATTTATTGTGAAGTATTGATCTCTATTGTCCCGCAGTGTTGTCACAACATGTTTGTTATATTTAGCCCATTAGATCTTCTGGTGTTAAACGTTGTACCTATGATATTTATCTTTTCTAGTGCATGTAGATCCAAATGGAGTGCGTGGAGTGGGTTTTGTTTTATTTTATTTTTTCTTAATCCAACAAGCAAGAAATTTCTGTCTTAAGGTCAGGATAAATTTTTATGTCGGTTACCATTTGAATTTTAGCTGAGACTCTAAAAGAAGCCTTTAGCAGTTATAGCAACTAGTATGAATGAACCGTGGTGATTTACAAGTTGCTATAGTTCTGACAAGTTTGGTACTGTCAACCAAAAGGGTGGGCTACATTCATCATTTAAGCTCTTCTGTAGATCAGAATACTTGCTTGGCTCTGTTTTTGAGTGAAAAACACTTCATTGTGTTGGGAAGTGGTGAACAGACTTATTTTCTAGGACTTTTTTTTTTTTTTTTAAATGTATGACTTGTATCAAGCTATATTTGGATCAGAGTGGAATTTAAAACAAACAGTAATCTGAAAATGATTCTCCTTGAATAAAAACAGCTGCTTAAACGGGCTGGATGCAGAGAAGTTGTTTACCGAAATAAATTTTGCGTTTAGCATGACTTTAAAACTAAGACAAATAGTTCTAGTAAGCGAGCAGACTGTTTTTGTTACCTTTTGGCAAGGTTTTTGAAACTGGTATAAGTGTGCAGCTGCCAGGGAGCTCCTAGAGTCAGATGCTCATAGGCTGTAGATGTTCTTGACACTGTCCTTCAAGACTTTGGAGCAAGTAGCTCTCATCTGTGCTCACCTGGCTGTTTTACTTAAACTCTGAAACCAAGTTTGAGTTGACCTCACAGGTAGGTTGTGTTCTGATTCTGCACATAATTTTAAAAGGTTGTGTCCTTGCTGGCCTGGGACCTTGCATTATGGTTTTTGAATGCGAGAATCCACGCCAAGATACGAACATTTAGAATAAAATTATTTAAAAAACATTACTAAAGGGTTACCTGGTTTGACCAGTTTCTAAATCAGATTTGTAAATTGCTCTGCTCTTTATCCATCTGAATACCAGAATTCACGTGATCTTTGCATGTATTTTACACACACGTATCAATGTAGTGAATAATAGGTTTAAAAAACAGAGTTTTTTGAGGGAGGCCAGTTTTGAAGAATGACGCCATGGTTGAAGTAAGCTCTAAGCAGAGCTTAATCTTTCTGTTATTTAAAATACCTTTTTAGATAGCAGTTTCTGAGTTGAACTGGAATTTTCCCCAATATGTCCGAGTATGGCTAACAACTTCAAGTTTTAGGCGCGTGTTGGTAACTTCATGCTTGTGGCACACTTGCTCTCTTAGAATTGACATGTCACTTACTGAATGATCAGGAACACGGGGTGCAGAGAGCTGATAAAATATCTGAGAAAGGAGAGTTTTGTAGTCCGTAGGAAACGAATCCTGTTGCTGCCTGTGGCAAGACAACTGTATTCCCCTTGTATATCTATCTCCTCTTTTGGAGGAGCCTGTGGCAAGTGTTTGTTTTACACCTTTATTAGTTGTTGCTTGGCATTTTCAACTGGAGTTTTTTGTCTGTAACTGTTTTCCAGACTTAAGGAATTGACCAAATTTTGTTAAGAACCTGAGCAGTGTTTTTCATGACAGGTTGTTTCATATCTTAAACATTTCAGTCCAGACTGCTAAAGTATTTTTACTGTTAATCTTCACAGCATGTTCTTTCTTGAAATGTGGCATAATATAGCACGTCCTCCACTTTTTGTTTCACCTTTGTGTTGCATTAGAACCACGATATTCATGCGCTTGTCTGCCGGAGATGAGCAGGTAGTTGTTTTTCCCCTGCCCCATCTCTGGACAGACATCGGGGGGAGCTGGGTGAAGTAAGGCATAGATGGTGCCTGAGGTGGTTCTGTTAGACTCTAACGTCCATCTCTGGCACGAAAGGTTGAGGATCCCTTTTTGAAAGGAAACTGCTCTAACGTGAATCAACATGCACTGGATTCCTGAGCTTTCGGATAATTCCGGTGGTAATCATAGCATGCTTGAGCAGCAGTAGACTATAGAAAATGAGCTTCCCCCCC